GTAAAGGAGCACAAGACATATATTTAATATTAATTAAAAATAATGTTAAACCTACTGCTCAAAGAAAATGGATATTAAATGAAAATATAGATGATGAAACATGGAAAAAAATATATGAATGTCCTTTTAAAACCACCACCAACTCCAAACTACAGTGGCTACAGTACAGAATAAACCACAGAATTCTCACTACAAACACATTTTTATTCAAAATTGGCAAATCACACAATAACCTTTGCACTTTCTGTAAAATTCACCCTGAAACAATAGTTCATATGCTATGGGATTGCGAAAAAATTGATAGGCTAATTGACGAGCTGAAAACAAATATTATAACTAAAAACCTTACACTAAGATTTGAAAAACAAGAATTCCTTTTTGGTAAACATACATATAACCATACAAAGTTTTATATAGAAAACATCATAATACTACTTATAAAACAATACATATATAAAACTAAATGCCTAAAAATTGACCTTAATCTGACTAGTCTCAAAAACCATATAAAATTTGAATTAAAAGCACAAAAGATCCTTGTGTATATAAACAGAATAAATTAATAAATAAGGATGAGTTAAACCATCAAATAGATAACTGGATGCAATTATAATATGACTATATATATATATATATGACATATTTGTTCTATACATATATACATCTATTGTACTTTATCATCTCCTCACTGTAATAATAATCATCAAATATTTCATACATTTTAATTCGCCAGGCTTAAGTTAAAATATAATGACATAGGAGTGCTCCCCATCCCCTGTAATGTTTTGTGTATTGTTGTTTTTTCTGTTTCAGTTTATTTGGTTTTTCTCTTGTGTGTTTGATGTCATAGGTTTATATATATTGTTTTTTGCATCAGTGTCTCAGTGTATGTCTTTATGTATGTACATGACATTGGCAATGTTTTGCTTAATATCTGCTTATGTGTTAATAATAATATCTTATATGATGATGATGATGATGTCTGATGATGATGATGATCTTTGTTTAATATGTATGAACAATCATGTACTTAGGAACAATGTCATAGATGTTTTGTCTTGTCTTGTAAAAAATGAAAAAATAATAAAATAAAAATAAAAAAAAGTATCATTAATCCAGGCCTCATGGTTCATCATCTGATGTTTAAAGATTTGAACACACTTTGGTTAAGGCTACAGTTGTGTGACCCCACAACGCACCAAAAACAGCATGCGCACATCGTGCATACACCATGCACACACCATCTGCACAACAGTGCAATTAAACAATCGTTCGCCCAATTGTGCATTTCTCTCTGCACAACTGTGCGATTTGGTACAATTGGTTGATCAATATTATGGAATGAAAAAAAAATTCAGAAGGCTCATATGCAATAACATACACTGTATATATTAATTTCTCATCAAAATGATTAAGATTATGTTCAATGTGTATTGCATGGTATTACAGTGACAGTTAGACTGTTAAGAATGGGTTGGCTCCCAGGTAACAGAACAGGTAAAGAACATTTTGATGAGTGACTGGAGCTTTACCTGGCCTGCATGTGCTTGATACAGAGATATAAGATACTGTATGACCGTAATGAAAACACAACTGGACTTTTTAGTATTTGTTAATTGCATTAGGTTTGGTCAATAGCTCCCCTTCACCTGGATTTTCACACCTCAACGACTCTGCCAAGGTTGAGGAAAACTACGATCTAGGTGAATGTACAAAGTGGCTAATTGTTTACCTGCACATTGGACCGTGTCCATATTTGTTGTAATTTAACATGTGTCAATTTGGATCGTTTAAAAAACACCGAAAAACACCAATTCTAAATTTTAAAAAATATAGATAGAAAGATAAGCTTACAGATGTAGCTAGAAAATAGAAATATACTTAAAAATAAATGTTATATGTTTAAACACAAAACCGTATATACTGTTAAGTCATTCCTCAATTTACACCAACCACGATTGTTATCGCACAACGTTCGTCCATCGTGCACACACGTGTGCAAGCAATAATTGTTCAGATTTTTATCATGCACACACCGTACCCACACTGCACATCGGGTAACGTTGTGCGAATCCCACAACTGTAATTTATGTAACAAAATTTCATAACATCTCGTTGCCAGCAAGCTAGAGACTAAATACCATTATTCTATAGGCCTCCTGGTTCAGCAGAAGTGAACACATTTAACCTTGTGACTTTGGTTATGTGTCAAAGTTACCTTTTTGAACAAAGTTCAAAGTTGAATTACATCAGCATCCAACCTGCCAAATGTCATGATCGTAGGCCTTATATTTCTAAAAAGGAAGTTTTTTAAGAACACATTTGATGAGGGATTCAATACACGACATAAGCTGTCATTCCTAACCTTATGTCTGTAGTTGTACGATTACAAAGTAAAGCTGATATCACACCTAAATTACTTTTGACTTTGTACAAGTAAAGAGGTAGATATTGCAACATCCCAAAGTTAACAAATGCAAATATTCCAAAGTTGGAATATAAATCAAATTATCCAGTGATATGACACAATTGATTTTAATCAATAACAGAATACCTGTTATAAATGCTTTATTACTTCCTGCTTGGTATTCAGTTCATTAACCTTATATAAAAAGATTTTAAATAAAAGCAAGCCCCTTGTGACAATTTCATCAGCCATCAAAACTATCACATAGACTTTGTACCTACAATCAGTTAAAACTATTACATTTACTTTGTATTTACACTCATTTAAAACTTACATGAACATACACTCAATTAAAGACATGTACTTATGATCATTACTTCAAATATGGCATACATGTTAATTACTTCATTAAAAGAAAATTTTAAAAACACTATGAAAGTCTATCAAGTAATGATGATAATTATATAAGACGGTAATAAGGTGACCTTGACATTGATATGTAGGTCGTGGACTGCTCACTGATGGTAAGTTCAGTATAGTTCAGTATAATCAAGGTCTGTGATAAACTTTTAGTTCAGTATAATCAGGGTCTGTGATAGACTTTTAGTTCAGTATAATCAGGGTCTGTCATATCCTTTTAGTTCAGTATAATCAGGGTCTGGAATAGATTTTTAGTTTAGTATAATCAGGGTCTGTGATAAACTTTAAGTTCAGTATAATCAGGGTCTGTGATAGACTTTTAGTTCAGTATAATCAGGGTCTGTGATAGACTTTTAGTTCAGTATAATCAGGGTCTGTAATAGACTTTTAGTTCAGTATAATCAGGGTCTGTGATAGACTTTTAGTTCAGTATAATCAGGGTCTGTGATAGACTTTTAGTTAGTATAATCAGGGTCTGGCATAGATTTTTAGTTCAGTATAATCAGGGTCTGTGATAGACTTTTATTTCAGTATAATCAGGGTCTGTGATAAACTTTTAGTTCCGTATAATCAGGGTCTGTGATAGACTTTGAGTTCAGTATAATCAGGGTCTGTGATAGAGTTTTAGTTCAGTATAATCAGGGTCTGTTATAGACTTTTAGTTTAGTATAATCAGGGTCTGTGATGGATTTTTAGTTCAGTATAATCAGGGTCTGGCATAGATTTTTAGTTAAGTATAATCAGGGTCTGTGATAGCCTTTTAGTTAGTATAATCAGGGTCTGGCATAGATTTTTAGTTCAGTATAATCAGGGTATGTGATAGACATTTAGTTTAGTATCATCAGGGTCTGTGATAGACTTTTAGTTTAGTGTAATCAGGGTCTGTGATAGATTTTTAGTTCAGTATAATCAGGGGCTGTGATAGAGTTTCCTGTCATTTTTCAATGTAACACATAGTGTATAATCAGGGTCTGTGATAGACTTTGAGTTCAGTATAATCAGGGTCTGTGATAACCGTTTAGTTTAGTATAATCAGGGTATGTGATAGACTTTTAGTTTAGTATAATCAAGGTCTGTGATAGATTTTTATTTCAGTACAATCAGGGTCTGTGATAGACTTTTAGTTCAGTCTAATCAGGGTCTGTGATAGACTTTTAGTTGAGTATAATCAGAGTATGTGATAGACTTTTAGTTCAGTATAATCAGGGACTGGCATAGATTTTTAGTTCAGTATAATCAGGGTATGTGATAGGCTTTTAGTTCAGTATAATCAGGGTCTGGCATAGATTTTTAGTTAAGTATAATCAGGGTCTGTGATAGACTTTGAGTTCAGTATAATCAGGGTCTGTGATAAACTTTTAGTTCCGTATAATCAGGGTCTGTGATAGACTTTGAGTTCAGTATAATCAGGGTCTGTGATAAACTTTTAGTTCCGTATAATCAGGGTCTGTGATAGACTTTGAGTTCAGTATAATCAGGGTCTGTGATAGATTTTCATTTCAGTATAATCAGGGTCTGTGATAAACTTTTAGTTCAGTATAATCAGGGTATGTGATAGGCTTTTAGTTCAGTATAATCAGGGTCTGTCATAGACTTTTAGTTCAGTATAATCAGGGTCTGTTATAGACTTTTAGTTCAGTATAATCAGGGACTGGCATAGATTTTTAGTTCAGTATAATCAGGGTATGTGATAGGCTTTTAGTTCAGTATAATCAGGGTCTGTTATAGACTTTTAGTTCAGTATAATCAGGGACTGTGATAGACTTTTAGTTCAGTATAATCAGGGTATGTGATAGACATTTAGTTTAGTATAATCAGGGTCTGTGATAAATTTTTAGTTCAGTATAATCAGGGTCTGTTATAGACTTTTAGTTTAGTATAATCAGGGTCTGTGATAAATTTTTAGTTCAGTATAATCAGGGTCTGTTATAGACTTTTAGTTTAGTATAATCAGGGTCTGTGATGGATTTTTATTTCAGTATAATCAGGGTCCGTGATAGACTTTTAGTTTAGTATAATCAAGGTCTGTGATAGATTTTTATTTCAGTATTATCAGGGTCTGTGATAGACTTTTAGTTGAGTATAATCAGAGTATGTGATAGACTTTTAGTTCAGTATTATCAGGGTCTGTGATAGACTTTTAGTTTAGTGTAATCAGGGTCTGTGATAGATTTTTAGTTCAGTATAATCAGGGTCTGTGATAGAGTTTCCTGTCATTTTTCAATGTAACACATAGTACGATTTTACAGTCCATGTATCCCTAGTAACCAAGTTTTTATAACATTTTATACAAAAAAAATGTAGTTACTTATAACTCTACCTTTGACATTATATCCACTAGGTTTTTATACACAAAGTACTTAATATTTAATATAATGCTTTTTAGCTATGGACATCAACATTGCACAAATACACAACCTAAACTAATCAGCGTTATCCAGTTTTACCGGTAAGGGACTAATTTCATTCGAAGGAAAGACAACCTTTACATTAACAAAATGTAAACAATTTAAAAAAAATAAAAAATTAGCATAGTATGTGCCCCAATGTTATAGTTGCACATGTTAAAAACCTCCTACTCTTATATGTCTTACACTAAAGGATTAGAAGATTCTGATACCAATCTTTCTCCGCTGTCATGTAAACTGTCACGGAAAGTAAACCAGCAGTTGGACTCTTCACAGCTGTGTCAATCCTCCCCGAGAGTGAAGCAGTACGATGTTACGGAGATGTGTCAATCCTCCCCTAGAGTGAAGCAGTACGATGTAACGGAGCTGTGTCAATCCTCCCTGAGAGTGAAGCAGTACGATGTTACGGAGCTGTGTCAATCCTCCCCGAGAGTGAAGCAGTACGATGTTACGGAGATGTGTCAATCCTCCCCTAGAGTGAAGCAGTACGATGTAACGGAGCTGTGTCAATCCTCCCTGAGAGTGAAGCAGTACGATGTTACGGAGCTGTGTCAATCCTCCCCGAGAGTGAAGCAGTACGATGTTACGGAGATGTGTCAATCCTCCCCTAGAGTGAAGCAGTACGATGTAACGGAGCTGTGTCAATCCTCCCTGAGAGTGAAGCAGTACGATGTTACGGAGCTGTGTCAATCCTCCCCGAGAGTGAAGCAGTACGATGTTACGGAGATGTGTCAATCCTCCCCTAGAGTGAAGCAGTACGATGTAACGGAGCTGTGTCAATCCTCCCTGAGAGTGAAGCAGTACGATGTTACGGAGCTGTGTCAATCCTCCCCGAGAGTGAAGCAGTACGATGTTACGGAGATGTGTCAATCCTCCCCTAGAGTGAAGCAGTACGATGTAACGGAGCTGTGTCAATCCTCCCTGAGAGTGAAGCAGTACGATGTTACGGAGCTGTGTCAATCCTCCCCGAGAGTGAAGCAGTACGATGTTACGGAGCTTTGTCAATCCTCCCCGAGATGGAAGCAGTACGATGTTACGGAGCTGTGTCAATCATCCCCGAGATGGAAGCAGTACGACGTTACGGAGCTGTGTCAATCCTCCCCGAGATGGAAGCAGTACGACGTTACGGAACATAGTCAAGGTCAAAGTGACCTCATTGTACTACTTTACGCAACACATTATCGCATTACAATTTTTACTTTCAAACAAAATATAATGAATGCATATATTTCAGATAACACAAGTTTCAGGAAAAAATGTTTTAGACGTCTTTAAGCCTGTATCAATAAAATATCTGCAGTTTACAGTAAAATAACTTTTTAGCAAAATTCTAATAACTTAACTTTCTCATGTTACAAAGACATGATAAAGGATTTTGTTGTTGTTTCATCTTCATTTTAATTAAGAATCCTATTAGTTTATATTTTGATACAAGTTCTGTATGATCCTCTTCACCGATCCCAAAATATTTGACAAAAATAGAAATTTAAAATAAGTTGTGACATAACATTCTTAAACAATAGTACCGCGGGGCGGAACATTAAACGCCTGTTGAATGCCATATAGTGTTATATACTTCCTTACATTGAAATAAGATCTGCATTATTCTAAGAGAGGTTAGCTGACATGCTATAAAAAATGTAGGAGGAAATCTCCGGACAAATACTGAAATAAATAAAGGGCAATAACCTTTGCAAAAATTGTTAAATCAAAATTCTTTTCAAGGAAACACAACAACATATCATGATTATTTAGCCCACTAAGTTTCAAAGAAATCCGTCAAAAAATGTTGGAGGAGATTTCCGGACAAAAAATCAAATACTGAAATGAACAAAGGGCAATAACTTTTGGAAAAATTGTTGAATCAAAATTCTGTTAAGGGAGACACAACTTCATATCATGATCATAATGTATACCAAGTTTCAAAGAGATCAGTCGAAAAATGTAGGAGGAGATTGCCGGACAAACAAAAGTTTATGCCGGACAAGCGGACGGACAACCCCATACCATAATACTTACGTCAAATTTGACGGGCGTATAAAAAGCGTATGTATGCTCTATAATTAAATTTAGCTCCCGATTAATCCAGCCTTGATCTAACTATCGAGGTTAAAGACAGTGCTGATACCACAACCTCTGGAACCCTGTTCCACAATTTAATGACACATACAGGGAAGATTTTTTCCCCCTTATTTTTGGATGCTGGTAAAAATACAAACATGGAAAATATCAGTAGACAACATAAATATAAACATTGTGGTAGCACTCACTAAAAAAGGCCTCACAGAGGCATGGTACATTTATAAATACATAAATAGTGTAACTAGAATTCTGACAGGTCAGTAAGGCCCCGTCTTGTGGCAATATATACCCCATAATCATCAAGAAGCAATCTGCCCATATAGCTGAGCTTGACGTTTGACATTTGGACTTCAAAAAGCATCGCAAGGAAGCAAAATATATAATTACATGTACTATGATGTGAGTCTTGTTTCCTTCCACCTCTATATTTGCTGGGCTAACAGAAATGTAAATACCGGTGCAATACTCATTTGTTAGCTTTGATTTGCTTTATTTCACCTTATAAACCTCCTCCATCAAGAGCCAGGGTCAAAGTCAGAGACCCACTTTGACCTTTAGACCCAAATGACCTTGACCATTAACCCAGTTACCCTGATCTTTGGTCAGTTGACATATTCTTTAATTCAGACCAACTTTACTTCTTAATATCATAACAAAATGTTCATCAGTGAAAAATACAAAACTTGACCTTGACCCTTTGGACTCCGTGATCTGGACCTAAGGTCAGTTGACTCTGTGTTAAGTTCTGAACAACATTACTTCATAATGTCATAACAAAATGTTCATCAGGGAAAAGGTACACAATGTAACCTTCACCTTTGACCCAGTGACCTTGACCTTTGGTCAATTGACTCCTTGCTGAATTCTGAGCAATATTGCTTCAAAGTGTCATAGTGAAATGTTCACCAGTGAAAAGATACAAAATTTAACCTTGACATTTGACCCAATGACCTTGACCTTTTATCAGTCGACTCCTTGTGTAATTATGATCAACTTTGATTCATCATGTCATAACAAAATGTTCATCAGTGAAAAGATGCAAAATTTGACCTTGACCTTTGAATCTAATGACCTTGACCTTTGACCTCGACTTTTTACCTCAGTGTGTCTTTTTGTTTAATTCCGAACAACTTTGCTTCATAATGTCATAGTGAAATGTTCACCAGTGAAAAGCTACAAAATTTGACCTTGACCCCCTGACCCGATGACCTTGACCTTAGATCAGTTGACTCCTTGGTTAATTCTGATCAACTTTGCTTCATAATGTCATAACAAAATGTTCATTAGTGAAAAGATGTAAAATTTGACCTTGACCTTTGAACCCGATGACATTGACCTTTGACCATGACTTTTTACCTCAATGTGTATTTTTGTGAACTGAACATCTTGACCAAGTTTCATGTACATCAGTCAATAAATACTAAAGTTATCAGCCAGGAACAAAATTTGTGGACGGACGGACAGACAGACAGACAGACAGAGTGATTACTATGGGGCATCCGTATCTCCGATACGGGGCCCTGATTATACATTCAGGAGATAAATATGTTCACTTTAAGGTGGAACAGTTAAAGAATGGCATGAACAGGATTAACCAACAGAGAACGAAGTATCCCGACCCTCTGTGTTACTACACACAACAAGGATAGATCAGACAAGGTGAGGGCAAGGCGATGGTTGTGTGGAGGTTCTACACACAACAAGGATAGATCAGACAAGGTGAGGGCCAGGCGATGGTTGTGTGGCGGTTCTACACACAACAAGGATAGATCTGACAAGGTGAGGGCCAGGCGATGGTTGTGTGGAGGTTATACACACAACAAGGATAGATCAGACAAGGTGAGGGCCAGGCGATGGTTGTGTGGAGGTTCTATGCACAGTTTCTTCAATTGATCAACCACTCTGGGGAATCCCTACTCCCTTCACAGAAAAAACTAAATCCAATCCTACGGAAGATATTGACAATGTCTCTTAACCATTTCACCCCTAGGTAACTTTAGTAGACTCTACCATACATTTATCTTGGTTAGTCCATTTTGGTCTACAATGGTGAAAGGGTTAATTTTATGCATGAAGTTGTTTTGCTCATGTCAATTCAGAGAATCGACTCAATCATTAAGTTGAGAAGGAGAAAGAGAATCCCGTCTAACAATCATCTCTGACTGTTACCTACATTTGTACAGACTACAAATACATTGTGCCTTCACCCTTTCACTCCTATGTTACTTTAGTAAGACTACCATGCATTGATCTGGATGAGTCCATTACGGTCTACAGTGGTGAAAGGGTTTAACATCTCATCATAGACTGAGAATCCCAGTAATGGTTATCAATGGAACTGCAGGTATCTAAAGCATCTTCAATAAAAAATAGTAAAGTCAAAGAATTTCGTTTTGCGGGAGGGACCAACAAGTACAAGGACTGCAATACAGTGGTCTGTACAGTTCTCTTAGTCAAAAGACAGGATGATCCATGTGTTATCCTCCATCAAAACATCAGGGCCCATATTCATGATCAAGCATGTATTTTGTGCTTGAGCCTAGTTTCTTGTTCAGGTTGTAAATTAATAAAACAAATCTTATTTTGTCAATGTTTTGGAAGCAAATAGAAGAATCTTAAGGCAGAATACTGTTTTTAATGTTTACATTTGACTTTTTGATCATTTTACATGATTTAAGTGAATTGCAAGAAAGTTGTGCTTGAGCATGAGATAGGTTTCATGAATACAAACCCTGGGCTTGAAATAAGATATATAGGCAGTACGTAGCAGATTACACAAAAGCTACCAATAATGAATGGTAAGTGTGGATGACATAAACACTAACAAATGAATGGTACATGTATGTAGCCGATCTGAAATGATTAGAAAGCTGGCTGTAGTGAGCCACTGGTAGTTGGCAGAGAGTCGGTGGAGCATTTGGAGAGTCCGAGGTTGGGAATCATAATATGGCTGGCTGCTAGTTCCTCTGTTGTAACCAGCACATAATATCTGTGTTTGAGTCCATGAAATCATATCTGTACATTATGTGACTGTGCTGGCAGAAATTGACACACTTCTTCATAGCTCGGGGGAGCTATGTCTTTGCCTGGATAAGGTGGAGGAAGGTCAAGGTCGGTCGACATCTGGTCGGTGTCATTAAGGGGTGGTGCTGTAGGAAGTACCGGCGTCAATTCTTCCAATTGTGTTAAACCTATCCAAGAGAGAAGAACAGTGACAGATAAAACCCAGTTATTCAGAAGAGCTAATGGTCGATCCTTACATTACGTCTACACAACGTCATCATTACAATCGTAACTGATTCAGGCCTGATCAAGCAAAGCTATTCACACATTGGAATATGCTAGTTATCAATGGATACACCCTAACTGAAGGAGAAAATATCTAGTTCTTACCATATGGTGTGTTGTTATCAGTTGTATTGGGGGGACGTCTTTGCTGTGACATTTGACCTATGTTCTGATTGGTTGATGGTGTAGCTCTTAATTTTCTGCGTCGAATCACACACACAATAACGATGATAGTAATAACTGTCACAAAGGCGATACAGAGACCAGCTGATAGCATGGCCGACTCCAACACACCCGTATACAGGTCCACTGTCCCTAGAAAACAAACACATGTACAAGTCTAGCATGGCCGACTCCAACACACCCGTATACTGGTCCATTGTCTCAGGCCCTAGAAAACAAACACATGTACAAGTCTAGCATGGCCGACTCCAACACACCCGTATACAGGTCCACTGTCCCTAGAAAACAAAAACATGTACAAGTCTAGCATGGCCGACTGCACCACATCCATATACTGGTCCACTGTCTCAGGACCTAGAAAACAAGCACATGTACAAGACTAGCATGGCCGACTCCACCACACCCGTATACTGGCCCACTGTCTCAGGCCCTAGAAAACATGTACAAGTCTAGCATGGAACATCACTAATCACATATGATTTACTAAATCCTTTTTTTCGAGGCATCCCTGTCGCATGAAAAGTTATTTTGGATAGGAGCGTTTCATATGACATCCCTGTCTGAGGTGTAAACCTGTGTGGTTTGTCCTAAGTAATTGTGTAGTGGCCTTCAACAACCTGTGTGGTACGACCTATATATACCTGTGTGGTATGACCTATATATGTCTGTGTAATGTGACCTACATATACCTGTGTGGTGTGACCTACATATACCTGTGTGGTAAGACCTATATAAACCTGTGTAGTGTGACCTACATATACCTGTGTAGTGTGACCTATATAAACCTGTGTGGTGCGACCTATATATACCTGTGTGGTGTGACCTACATATACCTGTGTGGTAAGACCTATATAAACCTGTGTAGTGTGACCTACATATACCTGTGTAGTGTGACCTATATAAACCTGTGTGGTGCGACCTATATATACCTGTGTGGTGTGACCTACATATACCTGTGTGGTGTGACCTACATATACCTGTGTCATGTGACCTATATATACCTGTGTAGTGTGACCTACATATACCTGTGTAGTGTGACCTATATATACCTGTGTAATGTGACCTACATATACCTGTGTGGTGTGACCTACATATACCTGTGTGGTAAGACCTATATATACCTGTGTAGTGTGACCTACATATACCTGTGTAGTGTGACCTATATAAACCTGTGTGGTGCGACCTATATATACCTGTGTGGTGTGACCTACATATACCTGTGTGGTAAGACCTATATAAACCTGTGTAGTGTGACCTACATATACCTGTGTAGTGTGACCTATATAAACCTGTGTGGTGCGACCTATATATACCTGTGTGGTGTGACCTACATATACCTGTGTCATGTGACCTATATATACCTGTGTAGTGTGACCTACATATACCTGTGTAGTGTGACCTATATAAACCTGTGTGGTGCGACCTATATATACCTGTGTGGTGTGACCTACATATACCTGTGTCATGTGACCTATATATACCTGTGTAGTGTGACCTACATATACCTGTGTAGTGTGACCTATATATACCTGTGTAATGTGACCTACATATACCTGTGTGGTAAGACCTATATAAACCTGTGTAGTGTGACCTACTGTACAAGTCTAGCATGGCCGACTCCAACGCACCCGTATACTGGTCCACTGTCTCCGGCCCTAGAAAACAAGCACATGTACAACTCTAGCATGGCCGACTCCAACACACCCGTGTACTGGTCCACTGTGTCAGGCCCTAGAAAACAAGCACATGTGCAAGTCTAGCAGGGCCTACCCCAACACACCCGTATACTGGTCCACTGCCTCAGGCCCTAGAAAACATGTACAAGTCTAGCATGGAACATCACTAATAACATATGATTTACTAAATCCTTTTTTTCGAGGCATCCCTGTCGCATGAAAAGTTATTTTGGATAGGAGTGTTTCATATGACCTCCCTGTCTGAGGTGTAAACCTGTGTGGTTTGTCCTAAGTAATTGTGTAGTGGCCTTCAACAACCTGTGTGGTACGACCTATATATACCTGTGTGGTATGACCTATATATGTCTGTGTAATGTGACCTACATATACCTGTGTGTAGTTGCCTTTAAAAACTTGTGTGGTGTGACCTTAACTGTCTCAGGCCCTAGAAAACAAGCTCATGTACAAGTCTAGCATGGCCGACACCAACACACCCGTATACTGGTCCACTGCCTCAGGCCCTAGAAAACATGTACAAGCCTAGCATGGACCATCACTAATCACATATGATTTACTAAATCCTTTTTTTCGAGGTATCCCTGTCGCATGAAAAGTTATTTTGGATAGGAGTGTTTCATATGACCTCCCTGTCTGAGGTGTAAACCTGTGTGGTTTGTCCTAAGTAATTGTGTAGTGGCCTTCAAAAACCTGTGTGGTACGACCTATATATACCTACCCGTATACTGGTCCACTGTCCCTAGAAAACAAGCACATGTACAACTCTAGCATGGCCGACTCCAACACACCCGTATACTTGTCCACTGTCTCAGGCCCTAGAAAAGAAGCACATGTACAAGTCTAGCATGGCCTACTGGACCACACCCGTATACTGGTCCACTGTCGCAGGCCCTAGAAAACAAGCACATGTGCAAGTCTAGCAGGGCCTACCCCAACACACCCGTATACTGGTCCACTGTATCAAGCCCTAGAAAACAAGCACATGAACAAGTCTAGCATGGCCGACTCCAACACACACGTATACTGGTCCACTGTCTCAGGCCCTAGAAAAGAAGCACATGTACAAGTCTAGCATGGCCCACTCTAACACACCCGTATACTGGTCCACTGTATCAAGCCCTAGAAAACAAGCACATGAACAAGTCTAGCATGGCCGACTCCAACACCCCCGTATACTGGTCCACTGTCTCAGGCCCTAGAAAACATGTACAAGTCTAGCATGGAACATCACTAATCACATATGATTTACTAAATCCTTTTTTTCGAGGTATCCCTGTCGCATGAAAAGTTATTTTGGATAGGAGTGTTTCATATGACATCCCTGTCTGAGGTGTAAACCTGTGTGGTTTGTCCTAAGTAATTGTGTAGTGGCCTTCAAAAACCTGTGTGGTACGACCTATATATACCTGTGTGGTATGACCTATATATGTCTGTGTAATGTGACCTACATATACCTGTGTGTAGTGGCCTTTAAAAACTTGTGTGGTGTGACCTTAATATACCTGTGTGGTGTGACCTATATATACCTGTGTGGTGTGACCTACATATACCTGTGTGGTAAGACCTATATAAACCTGTGTAGTGTGACCTACATATACCTGTGTAGTGTGACCTATATAAACCTGTGTGGTGCGACCTATATATACCTGTGTGGTGTGACCTACATATACCTGTTTAGTGTGACCTATATATACCTGTGTAGTGTGACCTATATATACCTGTGTGGTGTGAACTACATATACATGTGTGATGCGACCTACATATATCTGTGTGGTGTGACCTATATATACATGTGTGGTGCGACCTACATATACCTGTGTGGTGCCACCTACATATACCTGTGTAATGTGATCTACATATAACTGTGTGGTGCGACCTACATATTCCTGTGTGGTGTGACCTACATATATCTGTGTGGTGTGACCTACATATACCTGTGTGGTGCGACCTACATATTCCTATGTGGTGTGACCTACATATACCTGTGTCATGTGACCTACATATACCTGTGTTATGTGACCTACATATAAATGTGTGTGGTGCGACCTACATATTCCTGTGTGGTGTGACCTACATATACCTGTGTGGTGCGACCTACATATTCCTGTGTGGTGTGACCTACATATACCTGTGTGGTGTGACCTACATATACCTGTTTGGTGTGAGCTACATATATACAGCAACTCGAAGTATAGCTCCCGCAAGGGGGCACCTATATCAAGCTACAGAACAAAGAAAAGAGCAACACCCCCAGAGCCTCCCGAGAGGGGGGGAGGATGAGAGGCTCACTCGGACAGATCAAACGGAAACGACCAGGACACGGACAAACACAACGATGATCCAAACAACGTTAAGTGGAGAGCCAGTCGAAGCACGATGCCATTGTGGAAAGATATGCAAGAACAGCAGAGGGCTGAAAATCCATCAGGCAAGGACCAAATGTGGCCATAGGGAGATACTAACGCAGCGCACAGATATCAGCAATGAATCTGGTGAGACGCAGGAGGAACTCAGTCAGGAGTCAAACCATAGTACAGAGAGCCTCCAAGCTTCGGTGTCGCCAGATGGCAGCATTGGTAACTTGAATGAAGCGAGCGCCCATGGTGTTCAAGCAGTGAGGGACAGGAGATTAGACAAAGTGCAGTGGCCCAAGACAAATGACGAGGCAGCTTGGCGAAATCTTGATCAGGACCTGGAGGCTATTTTGGAGACCACTCTACAGGGGAATGTGGAGAGGAAAGTAGAAGCACTGACGTCAATTGTGTACAGTGTATGCAAAGAGCGATTCGGAGTGGAAACATCCAGAACACAACCCAGAGCAAAGACAACAAAGGAGAACAGGAGGGAACGTAAGATCAAACAACTACGAAAGGAGCTGAGGGAATTAGGAAAGAGGTTTAAAACAGCACCAGAGAGTGAAAAAGTTGGGATACAGCAGATAAGAGACGACCTTAGGGAGACACTTCGCCGCCTAAGGAATGCAGAAAGACTAAGGAAGGGAAGGAAGGAGAGAGCGAAGAGAAGAGCAGATTTTGTTAAAGATCCATTCCAGTTCTCAAAAACTTTGCTAGGAGCAGAGAGATCAGGCCATCTGGAAAGCTCGAAGGAGGAAGTGGAAGCTCATCTCAAAGGTGTCCATTCAGACAACAGGAGAGCAGAACCTTTAGGATATTGTCCAAGAATCTTAGAGGTAGAGGCCCCAAGTGCACCATTGGATACCAAACTTCCTACCTGGAAAGAGATTCAAGATGTGGTGAAAAAGGCAAGATCAGGATCAGCCCCAGGACCAAGTGGGATAACGTACAGGGTTTACAAGAAATGTCCAAGACTGCTAAGAAGACTGTGGCAGCTAATCTGTAAAGTATGGAAGAAAGGGACCATACCGGCGTGCTGGAAGAAAGCAGAGGGAATCTTTGCTCCTAAAGAGAAAGACTCCAAGACAGTTGAACAATTTAGGACCATATCGCTGCTGAGTGTCGAAGGAAAGATCTTCTTCTCGATACTTGCCAAGCGCATGACAGCCTACATGGTGGAAAACAGTTACGTCGACACCTCAAGTCAGAAGGGAGGAATCCCTGGGTTTTCAGGATGCGTAGAACATACAAGCGTCATCAGCCAACTGATCAGAGAAGCCAAGCAGAAAAAAGGTAACCTGACAGTGGTATGGTTAGATCTTGCAAACGCCTATGGATCTGTACCACACAAACTGATTGAGGCAGCCCTGGACCATTATCATATTCCGGAGCACATCCGGAAAATGATAATGAGCTACTTCGGAGGGATACAGTTGCGGTTTACAGTTGGGGAAAGCACTACAGC